ATTTATGTAGTTTTAAATTCAGGATCTGTAACGGGCACGTTCTGAAGCAATAGAATATTAACGAAAACGCGTCTGTTTGTGGATAATATCGGTAACTTTTAGTCAAGAGAAATGGCTCCCGCAGCTTTGACGAATCTCATCAAGGTAATGTTCCCGACTCCTTGTCTCACACACTTCCTCTCTCTTACTCCCTTTGGCTGGAGTGTATACTGCAGAAAAACGTTGATCATCTAAGTAGCTGGTTTAATCTCGAAAGAGTGGGATGATATTTAAATAATAATCAAGTGCAATCTCCAAATGGCCTAATCTTTAATTCATGCAATCATATGTATGTAGGCGCCTGAGTTAGAAATAAAACAGATAGAACGAGATAGAGACAGAATGCCACTTCTCTAAATGTACCTACTGCTTTTATATGTATGTATTTATATGTGTATATCGTACCTGACGCTGTTACAATAAAGATGTTACTTAAATTATGTAGTGCTTGTATATTTTATTAGCTTCGCAATTAGCACGTCTAACCGACCGACAGACCTGTGCAGCACGGTGGTGGTTGAATTTAAAACGAGCGCGCCTTAACTTTTATGGTTTTCAGTCAAACTAGTGCAATTACATTAACAATTCATACATTCACTATTCGTATGCATTAACGGTGCGTTAAATGTTTGCGAAACGGTTTGACAACTTCTAAACCACTTAGGGTGTTTAATGGAATTAGCACTTTCGTTAAAACGTACGTACTTCTATGTAGTTGAATAAAAAGTTTAATTTTTGCAGGTAACAATAACTTTAGAATTATTAGTTTAAATTAAACTATTTGAAGATGAATTACTATAAGCAACGACAAGGTCCCTAAGGATATCGACTTTCCGAATAGATCCCACACGTAACTATCCCTACGTAGGGTAGCAACTTTCTATAAATCAAACGTCAGATTGAGTCGCTATGTTTTCTGCCGGGCTGTCTACGGGTGCTGATGAGATCTGATGCTGTTCTATTTAACTATATACCGAAATATTTATGTATGAGTAGGTAATTTCTAATATATAATTAATTGAAACTAAGCAGATGTTTTATTTGTGTATTTATTTATTCCACTAATAAAAATTATTTTTTTTCAAACATATCAGACCATCGATTTAATAAATATCTACCGAAAAAAGAACATGACAAATACATATATATCAAATGGCGATTCGAGGGTTGACCGGTGAGAGAAATTTTCCCTTGGAAACCAAAAGGAAAATGCATATTTACGGTAGAGAGCTTGCAATATCTGTAACGCATATAATGAAATAATATTCGGAGCGCAACTGGCGTTCCTGTCGTTCGCTGGAACCGCTGTCGCCCCTGTCACTTGCAGCGATATTGGCTCACCAGGTGGGGGTGTCCATTTCTACCCTCTGACCGTCCGCTCGCAGTCCGTCCGTTCATCGTAAGATATTAGATGTGTGACTAGGGCGAGAATTGAATTACCTACAACGTTCAGCGCGAATTCAAAGGCCCGCCAAAGATTTCTCTGTTTAATTAAAATCGCGCAATAAACCCGATTGGCTTCCTCTCGGAAAAACCCGCATTGGATTCGGACATAATCACAAACAAAGAAATAAACGGGGAATGGAATTGAAAAATTGGAAATGAGAGTAAAATCAAAATTGTATTGCACTGTTGCTTCAACCAACCAAAAGTTATTGGAATACCAGACTTGATGACAATCATTAAACTTAAAAATGTTCTGCGTCTGTTAAGTAACTTTAACCCGTTGATGTCCTATATACATGTCAAAGGTCACCGAGACTTCATAAAACTAACTTTACTCGCTCGCGTTGATATCCTACATACATATCAAGGATCATTGACGACCCCATGAGACTAATTTTTTCAATTCCTTGGGAACATTATTTTTTTCTGGATTCCCTATGCCCTTTTCTGCATCCCTAACCTTTTCTTTGCTGCTCTATATTAAGAAAAAAAGCTCAAATAGATCCCCCATGTTAGAAAATAAAACTTTTAATTAAAAACGCGGTGAGTAATGGTAGATAATAATAATAATAGAAACTTGTAATGAAGCTAGTTGTTCATATTTGAAGCTTAACGTTAGAGAAGTTACGAAGAAAAAGTTTCAGAGCTATTGAAGCAACGGTTCCACTTTGAAGAGGATTTAAATTAAAGATCTCGGTATAGCGAAATGGATTCACGGAACAAAGATGGTAAGCGTGATAAATAATCCGCAATAATTTCGCACAACAAATCCATTATTATGGATGAACAGTAAACTGAGAAAAGGACGGGCGGCGTGGCGCTGAAAGTTCTCCTTCCTTTTTCCAAGCACGGAGATTTGTGTAGTTAAATTAGCCGTTGCTTTAATTAAAATAGTTAAGCTGAACGAACGGACGCGAAAGTTGATGAAAACAAGTCTCGAGCAAAATAGCTTTATGTTTTCATCTCAGGCGCCATTATCTTCTTAATTTCCTCTAAGAAAATTATTTTCTGGGAGTGGCATCCCTTAGCCGTTCGTTCTTTCGTTGTCACTTTCAGCAGCATAAAAATATCACCCTTTTGCACAACTATGCCACCCTAATATCCACATTGAAAATAAATTTTCGCTCACTGAACGGCTTTCATATCATCGTCCGCTCCGTCATCTACAGAAAATAATGAAAAAACAAAGTATAACCGAATTTGTCGTAAATACAGCGTGAACTCTTTATAACGTCACTCGATTTAACGACAAACTCCTTAGAACGTCGAAATTGCTTGACTTTGGTTGACTTTGGTTGGTTTACATTGTTATCTATACAATATTACACTCTATATAGCGTCACGCTCACTCTGTTTAACGACAACAATGCGGCATTATAAACCATTAAGCAGTACTTTCTAAGTTGCCGAAATAGATAAGAACTGCAGCTGTGTACGTTGTTGAAGAAGACGATCCTGTCCCTCCACCAAACATCAAACAAGCACTTGATGCAGCGAAACTATTAAAAAAATACTTTTTATATAATCAAATTGATCCAGCAGTATCTCAAGATATGAGTAAGATACGTAACAAAATACAATTAAAATATTGGAGCAATCAGAGGAAGATAACAGGCTATACGAAATGTATGAATAATAATGTTCGTGTGCAAAATGTGTACTATATAGGTAAATGCATATTATTATAGAACAGTAAAATAATATCTTTTATTTCTCTCCATTTAACGACTACTCTTTATAACGCCGAAAAATGTTCAGTCCCTTAAGTGTCGTTATATAGAGTTTACACTGTATATTGGTGTGTATTTTGTAATGAAAACGAATTACATCAGACATTCGATGGTGTAGCTAAACAAATGTTATTCGTATGTAACACGTAATCAACAACTGTCTTTTAAATGTCTTTTCGTTCGCTTCGCGACCACATAAAACTAATTTTTCTATCCCTTGGGAACAAAATTTTTGTTCTGGATAAAAGATAGCCTATGTCCTTTTTTGAAGCCCTGGAAATGTGTATACAAAATTTCATGATGATCGGTTGAACAGTTAAGGTGTGAAAAAGCAACAAACAAACTCTCACATTTACATTTGTAACATTAGTTAGGACTGCAAGATGGAACTGCGTCACCCGAAAACAAGCAAATAAAGAAACGAACGGATGCGTCAGAAGGAAACAAGTTGCTCAAGTATTATAGTCGAGTTTCCTTAATTATCCTTAAGAATAATTAAGTTGGGAAATACGCGGGACACTCATGCCGTTGGATGCAACTTTCAGCTAACAATTTACTTCCAAATAATTAAAGCTATCTAGGACTTGAAGAAGGAAAGAGAGGCAGCGGTGGCAGCAGATAACAAAGGTATAGTGAGGAGGTGGCGGTGGTGGCGTGAGTCGGGGGGTGGTGTACAGCCAGCGTGATTTGCTGCACTGTAATCTTAACGAACTTGAGTTCCCTGATACGTATCTTTTTTAATTATCGCTTTAATTAAAGAAGGTTTTATATTGTAATTTATCGTTTCGTGTGATCCAATTTCCATCTCATTACTTCAAGTTGGAATGAGAACTAGCGGCGGCGGTAGCGATGGCGGCGGGGGAAACGCAGTCGGCGATTTAGTGCCAAATTTCTGTTAGTTCATAGTTTGGGATTGCGCCAGGAAATCATCGAAGGACGCGTTCCGTATGTCTACTTATTCCTACTCGACTGTGTTATTAAACTTGCCGACGAAACCCATTAAATCCGAAAATTGTTATGGCTTCCCGACCATTTCTCAAACATGCTCCGCGATATTATCAGACAAATACATTTAAAATGCTCAAAACGATTCCAAAAATGCCCTCTACCCACCCCCGCCCTATTAATAAATTTGGAAATTATACGTCCAAATCGATAACAGAATTACCAGTTAGAAAACTATTGCAATTCGTTGTGAAATTGGATGGATGCAAAGACACTGTTAGTACAATTTGCATCATTTTGCACTTTTCCTTCGCAAAAGCATTAACAGTGCACCTCTGTTTGGAACATTGGTCTGTAAGTGAATTCTGGGTGAAGTGAAAAAAAAAAAAGAAATGTTTGGGAATGGTGGCATAGGAGGATGAAGAAAATCCCCTGGATAAGAAAGGTAAGGAAGAAGATGTTGGAAAAAATAAGACGTTATGGAATTACCTAAGTAAAAAAATAAATAGGATGCTAGAGGATCACTAGCGGAAACAGAAATAAACAGATCCAGATAGAGTCCTAGATTAGATTACTGTTCAGAAATCTTAGGAGTATTGGTTTTTTCAGTTTTTCAAAGGATTGGAATAGAGATGGATGACCAACCTTGTCTGGTGATGAGGTTTATCAGTCTCACACATGTTATGGAGTCAAAACATGTAACTTGTAATAACAACAAAGACTTTTTTACCTTTTTTATACCCTTAAAATCCATTAAGTAGTAAACTATTACGCACAGATTTTTATGTTGTAGGCAATGTGAGAATTCGATGATGAATTCTTTGTTTTTATTTGTTACAGAAACCGCCGGGGAACAAGCAAACAGTGGTCGTACATCAGTGGGGGTGGCAGGTGGGGCGGCAGTTTCGGTTTCGGCAGCAACAAATTCGGCCGGAGCGGCCGGACTGAAAGAGTGCGCCGGTTGCGGGAAAAGAATAACTGAGAGGTTCCTCTTGAAGGCTCTTGAGCTCTTTTGGCATGAGGATTGCCTCAAGTGTGGCTGTTGCGACTGTCGACTCGGAGAAGTCGGATCGACTCTTTACACGAAAGCAAACCTCATACTTTGCAGAAGAGATTACCTCAGGTTTTTATTCACTTTTATACTATAGCATATCAACTATATCTATCTACATGGATACCTCAAATATTTTTTAGCATTTTCTCGAATAAAAATTTTCCGAGACAGTTTACAGTAAATATCTGGTCGTGAAACTGGAATATATGTTTTCGTGTTTTTCGTGGTCCTTTTGTATGTCTTGTCCAATTCCTTAGTTTCTAAAATAATTAAAATTCCCGAAGGTTGTTTTATTTAAATTGCTCATTGAGCAACTATTTTGGAAAATAATTAGTAAAAAAGGACTTTTTATATTTATAAAGGGAATTAAGTTCTTAGTCTATAATTTGTTCCAATTTCGAACTTACTAGAGTTATCATCAGTATGCCACAAGCAGGGAAGATCACTAGATGACGATATACCCACTGCTGTTGGTTAATTGATATTATATATCTTCCTTTTGCAACTTCGGTTTGGTCGGTAAATTGCTGAATGTGCCGGTGGCGTGCTGATGTTAACTAATAAGTCTGATGGTTTTGGTACATGGCGTTATACAGCGTGCTGCTTGATTTCAAATTCATCGTGGGGGTATCATTAAAAAGCTCTTTTAAGGAGCGATTATGTTTTTAGTAGTTTTGGAATAATTAAGCTAAAATTAGTCGATCGAAATCGCCACTGAACCCATCGTGTGCGTTGACCATTCCTCTCTTTCTCTTTACCAGGTTGTTCGGTACGACAGGCTACTGTGCGGCTTGCAGCAAGGTGATTCCAGCTTTTGAGATGGTTATGCGAGCCAAAAACAACGTCTATCATTTGGAGTGTTTCGCGTGCCAACAGTGCAACCACAGGTATGGCGAATACGACATGTAGTAGGCACAGGAATGATAATGTTATTTTAATGATTCCCGAGCGACGAACATATTGCCACCGCCGGAATGTACTATTACTCCCTTCGTGCCCATGTGTGTATGTGTATTTTCACATACGTGTGTATATCTACGTGTCGCAGTTGGGAAACTATTGCCACAACTATAGGGTCGGATAGGGACTAACGAGCTAGGAATCCTGGCGTAACTTATAGTTGGCCATGATTACCCCACATTACATACATACACGGGCATATATATTATTATATAACCACGTACTTACACGTATTAGACATGCAAAGAAGTCTTACCGATATCGTACGAACGAAAACGCTCATTTTGTTAATAAATATTATATTATGAAGTTTATAAGCGAAACTCTAAATAACACGAACTTTTGGTAATTAGAAAAAAATTGTTACAATTATCATAGTCATTTACTTAAGGCAATTGTGCCCATCACACAGCATAATCACGTACTCCCATCTTCCTATGGCCTCGTTCTAGCGTCGGTACGTGTAACGCTAAGTAGCTAACACTAAGATTTTTGTTACCAAACTTTACATCTTTACAGTATTAATGAATTCTTATTTACGTAATGTAACATTTAAATTACTTATCTTAAAATTTTCATTATTTACAATATAATTTTTNTTGTTGATGATTGTAAGTAATTAAACATTTTTGTTTAAATATTTTGGTAAAATGGTCCTCTAATTCGTGTAAAAAAAATAAAAGAAAAATGTACATAATATAACTTGCACCTTATCTTGTTTAATTATGTTGATACTTACATATTCATATGTACAGTTGTTTAATTTTACTGGAAACAGTTTTATTTTTATGGTATTCGATAATTTGTTAAATTTTGAATGGTACTTGTTGTAAGTACATACTGAATAACTATTAAGTTTGTTTAATGTATTTTACGATTTGTGCATTTATTATTCTGAAAGTAAATGTCATTTCATCACTATATCATTCTTTAATAACTTTCTTTTTCGTGAAAATGCAAAAATAACTTTGTTACATTTAAATTAGGACTTTAAAGAGCACTATAACTGATGCATGAAAAAGTTAATTTAAATACATATTTTCGTAAGGCAAATTTTTGGGGAAATAGAATTATCTTTAAAATTAACTTTATAGGGTCTTCTTCATAAAATATTAACACACATTCTGGTTAAATATTTGGAACAGCTTTTTATTGCATTTAATTAATTTAGGTACATTATAGAATACATGGTGAAAAATACACTTATTTTGCTACTGTAAAGGCATCTTCATGATATCCTCAGACTATGAAAATAAAGATGCAACTTTAATTGACTGCCATCATAACATATTTTGATCCCTTTTTAACACTTTTACTAAATAAAAAGTGAACTTTTCATACAGAAAATCAAAGAACAAGAAAAAATTGTAAAGACACTTTTGAAGACTACACATGACAAGGTATATTTTTTATTAAGTCCCACAAAACAAAAACTAGTCCAGATTATTGCAAATTATTTAAATAAAGCATTTCTGTAGAAAATTTTCAATGTTACAGCCAAAAAACTAAGAAAATTCTACAAAAATAGCCATAATCTAAGAATCGTACAAGTTTACTAACTATCTCGTAAAATCACTTTCTTTATAGGTTTTGTGTGGGTGATCGCTTTTATTTGTGCGACAATAAAATCTTATGCGAATACGACTATGAAGAACGATTGGTGTTCGCTAATATGGCTTATAATCCCAGCAGTTTGGCCCACATACGAAGGCAAGTCAGTAGTTTACAGGTAAAGAAATAACAACATATCAAATAGTAGGTAGTTGCTTTAGAAGAATATTATAACGTAGGAGATTGCAGAATCTTCTATAAATTGCCTTGCATGTTTGGAGAGCTAAATGTAATTTTGTAATAATGAGTCGAAGAACCTTTTTAATAACAAAGAAAGAAATCCATAGTAATTTGAAGTAATACAGATAAATTCTGTGTTTGAATTGAAATTAAAAAATATAAAATTATATATCTCCATATTGGATTTAGACCCACGCTAGACGTATATTTACCATATATTCACAAGAATATTGTTTTAAAATCAGTTTTTTTTTTCTCATAATTTCCACAGTTAATTTTTGAATATACGTATAATTGTATAAGTAATGTATTTTTGGATAGGGTACCGGTGTCTAAAAAGCTATTCAACGGTACTGTACCGCTAGCTAAGAAGTTATTCACTGGTACTCAAACGTCGTATGTAACATTGCTGATTAATTCTTCAAGTTATCCATAGAACGCTATCTTTCATGGTTTATGAGACTATGCAATTAAATCTAGTTATTTAAATTATTATTAAATTTAGTTAATATGAAAATAAATCTTCTGATTCAAAGTCGATGCAACGTAGAACACTAACAAAGCATTCTTTCTAGTTGCGTACTCTCGAATACTTTTGTCACCGCGGTACAGTACCGGCAAATAGCTTCTTAGTCACCGGTACGGTACCGGTAAATAAACACATTATAAAATGAGTATGTTTTGTAAAACTGTTATGAATCTCGCGAGCCGGAAAAATCTTCAAGGCGGGCCCCTGGTCTAGAGATCTGCCTAGGGATCATCAATCCAGCAGTTGTGGTAATGGAGATAGTATAAATAAGAAGAATAAAAAGGGTTTGAATGCATGGGTCGTAGATTTTATGCATCCTACTTCGTTTATTATAACCAAGTAACCTTTTAGATGACTAGGCCATTATCCATTAATGAAACAATATTTTTAATCGTCCTCTTTCCCTGCTGCTTTCAACTTAAGAGCTTGGTTCGGCTGCTTTTAGCTCTCTAACAGACCACTTTAGTGAAAAGTCTGGTACAGTCCATTTGCCAGGGGCGTTTAATGATTCACATTCATCGTCTGCAAGTCTCGCGCGCGCTTATTCCAGAATTATTGCCGCTTGTCCTCAGTTTATGAGGAGCAACGGGGCCAAACAATAATGACCTCCAACGCGCAAAATTAATTACGAAACTAAACTTAAATGAGACTTATTGCAAGAGCAATTACGGCGACGATACAAACCTCAAAAATTCGATCTTCTGATTTTAACAAATAATTGTATTATCCATCTTTATATTTTATGTAAAATGAGAAGGGAGTCCTTAGGAATTAGAGGGTTACAGTAGATACTGAATGTTATCGCAATTATTAAAGATATCTAAAAATTTCTGCAAGTAGATCAATAAGTCTTTGATCAGCATTCTGTCAGAAATGGATCTAAAATGTTGGTTCCTATCAACACATTTCCTACAGAAATTTGTTGGGAATGCGGTTGATTCGGCTGAGAATAACCACTTAGGTAATGTAAAATATAACTCCAAGCATTTAAACACTTTTTTCAATTTAAAAAAGTGTTTAAATGCTGGTAATAGGAAAAATGTACATATTTGTATATCATATTGGGTCGGATTCGTATTGATAAAATCGACGATTGAGATGGATATTTAATTTCTTGCAGCCGTCAGGAGACAATCTAATAAATGCCCGTCAGCGACCCCTACTGACCTACCCGCCTTGTTACAGCGAGAAAAGCCTTGTGCCCCAGAGGCCGCCAAGCACGAGTCATCGAGATGACGGCTCCAGCGGCTACGGCAGCCCCGACTCCGAGACTTTTGAACCACCCCAATGACGACGTCCCATTTCTTAGCCATCACGGAAACGGAAACCGCGCACGGACAAGACAAAAAAATCAACGAACTCGAAAAATTAAACGTTTCGGTTACGAAAGGGGTTCGTTCGTGCTCTCTTGGGTTCATCAGTAACAGAAAAAAATAAAACAAACAAGGAAAATAAACAGTACTGACTGTATCGTACGCGAATCTCAAATGTGCTAGTCGTAATGCCAAACCAATTACTTCCTGGGACTATTAAGTTTTCTACAGTGTATATAATTATAAATATATAAAGTTTAGTATACGAAAT